TCTACCTAAATAGTTTGAAGGAATGTACTGAGATGTATCTGTTATATTAAGGATATAAATTTTTGGTTTTGGTGTATGTTTGGTTCTACCTAAATAGTTTGAAGGAATGTAGTGAGATGTATCTATTACGTGTGTGTGTGTGTGTGTGTGTGTGTGTGTGTGTGTGTGTGTGTATTCATGGGACAATGCTAAGAATTAAGAAGCTGGACAACTGGATTTAGTAGCAGACTCCTTCTCCAGCAAGGTCAAGTGCCCATAAGGACTGTGGAAGGAGAACCATAAGCTGCAGGGACTTACAGATTTAACAGGCTTGTAAACGCACCCAGTGCTGTGACGTCTGTAAACATCTATTTTGAATTATAATCCTGGATGCTACCAAAAGGAATGTTGCTCAAACTTCTTATGACAGATACATTAAAATATTGTGACACTTTCTCCAAGGATTTCCTTTAAAGAAATCATGGGGAAAATATGGAACATTTTGGCTTAAGAAAGAATGATCCTTGTCCTGCAGATACCAAGTTTAATAAACTCAAGGGAGATGTATGAGGGTTTTACTACCCATTTTTCTCTCCAACACATGATGTATTTGCTATTTGTAGTCAAATACACTTTTTAAAAAAATGAAAAAGGAGAACCACTTGAATATTCACCCCATTGACTTCACTAAGATTTACACATTCATCTGAAAGAGGAACTTGTCCCTAATGGACTATATGAACAAGCATTTCCATGTCACGATGCCCTTGACACATTGCTCACGAACTGCTCTGACTGTTGGGACTCCTTCAATATTGTACAAGATAACTAACCCTGTGAATGATTTGGCTGCTATAGACAATATCCGATGGAACAGTCTTAACTCACACCTCTTTGTGCCTTGGATCTTTTAATCATTGTTGTCAGCAAATTTTGAACCAAGAAAATCAATTTTAGCACAGATAAACCATTTGCAAATGTTGGACCTAGAGGAAAATGTTAAGACTCACTTCACATTAACTAAGTAATAGCAGATAAATTTAAAAAGAAAATATGTTAACTAAGTAAAGATATTTTACTTAGAATAGTGATTATTAACGTTTAGCAGGCACTTAATGCACTACTTTGTGCAACGCTTACAATGGCAGGGGGAAAAAGAAAAACAAAAGTGGGAATTCACAGCTGCACCTTCCCAAGGAACTTACCGTGGGGGAGAGAAACGTGCAAAAATACTCCCAGGGGGTTAAGATACGTGCATGTAGGAAACAAGCACTGAGGTTCTCTCCTAGCCTCTGGCGCCAAAGAAAACCCTGATGACATGATGAGGTTGTTCTAAAACCCTACTCCAAGCATAGTCAGCATCCAGATCTTCCCAACTCTGAAGACAGGATGCTGGTTAGGTTGAGAGGTCCTGAGAGGACATTCTTACAGGGGTAACACCAGGACACACACATCTCAGTGCAATGATCTATTCTCCAGTCCTGTTCCCGTAGCTCTATTGATTATCATTTATCTTATAACCGGTTTGGGCCACTAAAGCAGGTGGCCAGGCTATGTTAAATCCCAAGCCCATACTGTGCGCATTGCTAGAATGTACACCTGAGCTTGGCATTCAGGAGCCATTCAAAAATTGTCATTTGCCCAGCTGGTGTAGCTCCGTGGTTGGGCATTGACCTATGAACCAGAAAGTCGTGGTTGAATCCCCATTCGGGGCATATGCCAGAGTTGCAGGCTCGATCCCCAGTGTGGGGTGTGTAAGAGGCAGTTGATCCATGATTCTCTCTCATCACTGATGTTTCTATCTCTCTCTTCCTCTCCTTCTCTCTTCCTCTTTGAAATCAATAAAAATACATTTAAAAAAAAACTGTCATTCCCTAGCTGACACACCATTTCTCATTTCTTAGACATATGAAAAAGATAAATGGATTGTATGTAAAAGTTCTTGGGATTATTATTATTTAAGGCCAATACCTTGAAATGCCCTGGGGACAGGGTACAATTTATATTTATAAAGTTAATTAGAGAAGTCTTATTTGTAATGGAATTATGGGAAGTGATATACATATTGCAATACATGCTTTCTATTCCCTAATTAATAGGCTATCTTGTAAAAGATGACCCTAATTTTTAAATACAATTGAAAAAAAATAAGGTAATACACCTAAGAGTGGCTTTATGAACTGAAATGTTATTCAAATATAGGCATTATTACTATTATCATAATTAATGAAATAAGGGTATTATTATTACCCTGGCCATAGTGAACCTTCTTTTAAAAGTATTTGTGTGACAGGGCAAAAGTGATTGTGTCATGACTAGATTTTTCATCTGATATACATTGATTTATAGATATATAGAAACTATAAGAGAAGTGGTGATACCAGTTTTATGCAATTAAAAATGATAAAAAATGCCCAAAATACTTAGCTTCTGGGATATTTTCTTCACAGCAGTGGCTCTTGACCTGAGAAGCCTATCGAGTGACCAGGGGAAGAGTGTGGGGAGGTGGGAAGTGAGCAGCAGGCATGTGAAATCTGAAAGCCCCCTGCGTGATCCTGTCACAGTTCTAGCTTGAGAATCACCTCTTTACTATGTGAAAGTAATTGAGCCGAGAAATACTTGATGACTCTGAGTACAAGTTGTCAGTCTTTGAGAACATTCTATTGTACATCTCTGCCTTGAAATATATCACATCCCTCGGATTTTAAAAGGTCATGTTGCTCTTGACTATTTTTTAAATAGATACCTCTTTAGTCAAGCCAAGTTGACACCTCAAGGATGGAGGTATTGTATAGCTCATCTGCCATTCATCTATATCCGTGGTTCTCAACCTTCTGGCCCTTTAAATACAGTTCCTCATGTTGTGACCCAACCATAAAATTATTTTCGTTGCTACTTCATAACTGTAATGTTGCTACTGTTATGAATTGTAATGTAAATATCTGATATGCAGGATGGTCTTAGGCGACCCCTGTGAAAGGGTCGTTCGACCACCAAAGGGGTCGCGACCCACAGGTTGAGAACCGCTGATCTATATGATGAGCAGTATCAAAGGTGATGACATTTCCTGAACCAAAAGGCAGGCCTGAGGGTCCAAAAGAAAACCTGACTTCTAAACAAGGCTGTACCAGAAATCACTGATCGTGTGCTTATCATCCACATCACTGTTCTTTTGAGAGCAATCTCTACACACTCAGCCATGACAGGTTGTCACCAGAAATCTAATAATTGATTTTTGCTGCTATTTCTCGATAATACTAGAGTTGAGAAATACTATGTGTCCTTCCCAAACTCCTGCTCATACCCTGCCCTCGCTTGGAAACACCTTTATAAACTCATGTACCTATTCCTGTCCTTGTGCTTTACACCCGTCTCCTCTGCATCCTTATTCATTATCTATCGTCACCTGGAATTTCTCTTCTTTTTTTATGTTTTTGGCATCTTCTTCATCATTCTTTATTCTCTGCCTAAAAAAAGTTCTAAAGCTATTCCAAATATTAAACTGCATTAAACAAAACAAACAAATCATTTTTTTCTAGTAGCCAGATTATTCTACAGGTGCCATACCATAGTTACCTTCACTGCCTACTTTCTTAAAATCGTTAACAGTACTCCCTGACCGTAAGTGTATATCTTAACTTTTGTTTTCCTTGATCAACTACTCAAATTCCCTGGCCACAGGCGCAGCGTTTCTGATTCAGTAGGACTAGTTTGGATCTAGGATCTGCATTTATATGAGACAAACCAGGTGAATCTAGTACAGGAGGCATTCAGCCCAGCCGGGGTGGTTCAGTGGTTGAGCATCGACCTATGAACCAGGAGGTCCCAGTTTGATTCTCGGTCAGGGCACATGCCCGGGTTGCGGGCTCAATCCCCAATAAGGGGTGTGTAGGAGGCAGCTGATCAATGATTGTCTCTCATCATTGATGTTTCTATCTCTCCCTCCCTCTCCCTTCCTCTCTGAAGCCAATAAAAATATATTTTAAAAATAGAGGAGGCATTCAGATTGTACTTTGACCACACCCTTTCATAGGACTTCAACTCTATGCCAACAGCACCTAAATCATTGCAACCAACTCCATCCTCTCCTCTGGACCTACAAACTACATTTCCCGGCATGTCTGACCTGATCCCTCAGTCATCGTATCCCAAACTTAATGCACCATTAACCCCCAAAACTTGCTCCTCATCAAGTATACTCTGAGACAGCACCCAACTGTAAAGCACATTTTTTACTCCTTCTGCCTCACGCCATGCCGATTCATAAATTAAGCAATCTAGTCCTCACCTATTCTCACTGTTTCCCAAGTGGAGGCTTTGATGGGAGCTGTTTGGACTCTTTTGTTTACTTCCCAAATGGGCTCTCACAATAGCCTCCCTTCAAACTTTTATACTTAAAATCAAGACTGATGGTATCATCCTTTTGCTAATCTTGGCAAAGTTCCTATTCATCTTTAAAACTGCATACAAACCCATTTTTGTGTCACTACAGGATTTTTATCATCTTACTCCCGTCTACCCACCAGTCTCGTCTCTTATAATGTCTTCATCCCTCTTCAACCCCCATTCCATCCTCTCTATCCCCGGCCTCCTTGGCATTCCGACACTGTGCCTTCATAATCTCTACTTTCTCCCAGGCAATCTTCATAGGAGTATGAGTTAGTATATCATTTATGGAAATAAATTTTGTGACAACCATGAGAGTTCTAACCCTGTTTTGTTGTTACAGCTATACTGACTGTAATCATAGCCAATATTTGTTGATTTTCCCCCCATGTACCCTGGAGCATTAGACTCATTCAAATCTCACAAGTACTCTCACTTCATCTCCATTTTATAGATGAGGAAACAGAAACACAGGAAGCTTATACAACTGCCCAAAGTCACACAGCCAGTAAGTGGCTGAGCAGGGTGGACTTTGGCTTTTGGCGACTTGTCTTTAGACCTAGCGCTCCCTGCTGCTCGGGAGGGAAACGCGAGTGGGCCTTTCTCTGAAGTGGGTGTCCTTTCTCTGCCCACAGGATCAAGAAGCTGAAGGAGACTCTGGTGGCGGTCCAGCAGCTGGATAAGAACATGAGCAGCCTGAGGACCTGGCTGGCTCACATTGAGTCAGAGCTGGCCAAGCCCATCGTCTATGATTCCTGCAACTCGGAAGAAATACAGAAGAAGCTCCAGGAGCAGCAGGTAAAACAGAAAAAAATTGAATAAAATGAATAGGCTTTTGAATATCTGTCCTCCTGGCCTGGCCAGAGGGTGGGTGTGAGAGGTGACTCGGGAGGGAAAGTGTGGAGGGCGCTTGGCAGGTTTAGTGAGTAAGGGGAGGCCTTGCCCAGGCAGGTGTTTGGGGCAAATAAGTTCCATGTCACCCCAGTGCTAACTCTTCAGAAGATATGTCATCACAGGGTTAATACCCTTTTATGTAATGATGTTTACTTTGAATTTATATTAGTTCACACAAACACTCCATCCATGCTTTTGTTCCGGCCCTCCGGTCCAGTTTAAGAACCCATTGTGGCCCTCGAGTCAAAAAGTTTGCCCACCCCTGATCTAAAATAATGCTGTTTTGTTTGTTTATTTATTCGTAGATCACTAGCTCACTACCATAAACTTGGAAAGAAACCTTTTTAAAAAAAATACGTTTTTGTTGATTTTTTTTTTCTTAGAGAGAGGGAGGGAGGAGGGGAAGAGAGAAAGAGAAACATTGATGTGAGAGCGAAACATCAATCGCTGTCTCCCGTACATGTCCCCACTGGGGATCAAACCTGAATCCCTGGTATATTCCCTGATTGGGAATCAAACCAGAGATCCCCTTGGAGAATGAGACAATGCTCAACCAACTGAGCCACACTGGCCAGGAAGGAGCCATTTAAAATTTCATATAGTGGTGTTTGGAGAAAGATTACAGTGCATACTTAGAGATTTTAGTGTCTAAAATAATTGTCTTTTGATAGGAGGATTGCATGACCTGCAGACCACACGCAGTAATTTCACCTTCATTTGTGTACCAAAGACAGCATATTCCACTGGCATACAATACACACCCCAGCAAAGCAAAAGAGGGTGACCCTGAAAAATGCATACAGAAGGGATTTCCACCTCCCACTCCCCTTGCTGCTTCTTACTAAGCATAGCAGACTCCAGTTGCCATAAATAAACACCATCAACCCCCATCAAGTATTGCTACTCCATGCACTTAGATTGTCCTGAAAATTCTGTCCACACTCTGGTTATTTTTATTAGTATTTAGGCCACTATAGCCAAGTTTCTTAACTTGCTAGTAAAAAATGTTTAAAATATATAAACAGACCTATTTCTCCAATCCTGTGAAACAGTTTATATTTTTAGTTTTCAAACTATTTAAACCAATGAGAGTAGGCATTAAACTACATTTTTTAGGTATTGGGTTTACTTTGATATTTAAATTTGCATTTCTTTTTACAAGCAATTGTTAGGGTATTTTTTTTCAATTTTTGTAAGATTAAAACCTCTGATGGACTCTTTGATGTTTGAAATTCTGATGATTGAACTTTGAGGGGGGCTGTCAATAATCCAAATTTCCTGGAGAACATGGTAATGATAACTACAAGTGATAACTAAAGTTAAAATTTAATGACCAGTATTGTAATTTAGCAAAGGTAAGAAAATTAAAACAGTATCTAATTAAATATGGCAAATTGATTATATGCACATATAGCCCCACCCTCTACTAAAACCCCAACGCAATGATAGTGAAGGGGGAAAAGAAAGTCAAAACCCACAATTGCAAAGAGAACAGAAGAGATGCTAGAGATGCCAGACATCCAACAGCATTTTGAATAGATGAATAGTGATGGTGTTAGCAGATGGAGGAAGGTGAAAGATCATTCATGCCACAGAGTTCCAAAAAGGCTCAGGATGTGGAGATATTAAGTCTGTATGGCTTTAAAATGGAAGATTGCTTAAAGGTCTGAATAAGGAGTGATTAGACTTCAGATATTCTCAACACTCCCCGCCCCCTGTAGCCTAGCTAGTCAGGAGAAAAAGGTGAGAGAGAATATACATACAAGAATATTAATCCCAACTATGTGAGTAAATTGAGGAATTATCTTTAGAATGAGAGAAAAGCTAAGCATATTCTAGAGCTGTATCAAAGAAAAGGAAAATATATTAAGGACCATAATTAATAAGGCAAGCAAAAAATGAACTCACTTTTAGTGATGGAATACTTTGAGTACATTGAGTTAAAAGCTCAATAGAAAAAATAATGTATGTTTTGTGCTGATATTCTTTGCAGTTAATATAAAGATTTCACAAAGTTCAATGCCTTCTTTACCATCATATCTATTTCCTTCATTTAAAATTGCTCACTGAGAAAAAAATAAGTAAATAAATAAATAAATAAAAATAAAATTGCTCACTGAGGAAGCTGCTGATGAAGCTGCTGATGATAATGATGATGTCATCATACAGAGTAGACAACCTCGGTCCCTTAAACCGACGGTACCTCTTAACAATGGTAGAATTAACATATATTTAGAGATCAAATCCCAGATCTTGAGTGCCAGCTGTTAACAGGAACACATATATTATTTTGACCAATTGATTGATCAATCTATCCATGGGAATGGAAGTGATATATCTGTGAAGTTGAATCTGGGGCAAGATTTATATTTTTTCATTTATCTTTATTGTTGAAAGTATTACAGATGTCCCTGCCTTTTTTTCCCATTGACCACCTCACCCCCCACCTGCCTCGCCTAGGCCTTCACCACACTATTGTCTAGGTCAGCCGTGGGCAAACTATGGCCCACGGGCCGGATTCGGCCCGTTTGAAATGAATAAAACTAAAAAAAAAAAAAGACCGTACCCTTTTATGTAATGATGTTTACTTTGAATTTATATTAGTTCACACAAACACTCCATCCATGCTTTTGTTCCGGCCCTCCGGTCCAGTTTAAGAACCCATTGTGGCCCTCGAGTCAAAAAGTTTGCCCACCCCTGGTCTAGGTTCATTTTTTTTAATCCCTAAAAAGCTCATTTTATTCTTGATATAGCTAATGTAGTCTATTTCATTTGTTTAGTTTCTATTTTGGCATTCCTCACATAGCTGACATATTTCTAGATTCATTTACTCATGCTTTTGAGCTTGCCGTATTTTATAAATGAAGTTGAAGTCTCATGCAATGAAGGAAATGAAATATTTGTCAACATTGGGCCTCAGCATTTGTCAGTCAGTTTCTCCCGTGTGTATACCAGGATTGCAATAAAGCGTGTCTCATTCCCCACAGGACCTTCAGAGAGACATAGAGAAGCACAGCACGGGCGTGGCTTCCGTCCTCAACCTGTGTGAGGTCCTGCTGCATGACTGCGACGCGTGTGCCACCGACGCCGAGTGTGACTCCATCCAGCAGGCCACGCGGAACCTGGACCGGCGATGGAGAAATATCTGTGCCATGTCCATGGAAAGAAGGCTCAAGTAAGCTGGGATGTTCAAACCGCTGGGAAAGAGGAAGGACCAAAAGAAAAAAAAATTACCCAGAGTAGCCATTGGTCACTATTTCCTTTCGGTTGCAAAGTCCAAAAATAGCCCGGGTTTTCCGAATTTGTTGTTGTCCACATTTAGTTGGGAAAACAAGCAGATAGAAAGGTAACCTGCAAATATAACAAGCCAAATGATGCCTGACCTAACCGTTTAAATATAATTCAGAGAAATACGCCTTTGCTGAATAAGTATGTTACAGAATTGGTGGTTGAACAATACCATTCTGTTGTTAAAAATTAAATGATAAAGCCAAGGGCTTATCGTAAAGCCCTTTGAAATTCAAGGCAGAAAAAGACAGTGCTGTGTTAGCAAATTAAGGTAGTGATTTAAGACCCATAATATCTGTGCTCTCTGGGGAACTCTGGAAAGCTCACTCTTTGTCTTGCTGTCCTAGACTGATTTTGATGGGGATGAGTTTGATGTTGGACTTCAGTGGGTTTTCAAACCTTGTTTTGTTTCAGCAAAGCCTTGGCACGCATGTGTGCACTGCAAACGTGGCCTTGCGCTTCCACACTTTCTTGCACTTTTCCGAACAGTTCACATCATGTGCATGTAACAATCGATGTGACTAATTCCACATCCAGAGCCGCAGGATGTGTGTTTAAAAAGAAACCCCCACAAAACAGCTGCGTCATGTCAGCTCCAACAGTTGTCCCCTTTGCACTCGGGTCAGAGTTGGCCCCAGCACAGCGATTGTTTGGCACCGCAGCTGCGTGTTTGGTCTTAATCCCGTGGCAGGTTCTGGAGCAGGCATGCTCCCAAACAGTCAGACTCTGTTCTTTCGTGTTCTGTCTCAGAATTGAAGAGACATGGCAGTTGTGGCAGAAGTTTCTGGATGACTATTCGCGTTTTGAAGATTGGCTCAAGACTTCCGAAAGGACAGCCGCCTTCCCCAGCTCTTCCGGGGTGCTCTATACAGTTGCCAAGGAAGAACTGAAGAAATTCGAGGTGAGCTATTGTTCCCAATCTCTCGTCCTGCTGTTGCTATGGCAGTCCCCAGCTGGTAGTCGGTGTCCCAGGACAGAAACTCATGTTCACCCACACATTCTTTTCTTCAAACAGCTGGGGGACAAGGTTGTGACCATCTTTATTACCATCTCATAAATAGGCAAGAAGTGGGATACAAGACTTTTATTTTAAGATGATCAAGAATTACAAATACAAAAATAAATATAAATAAATAAGTAAAAGAATTAAAAATACAGTACAAAATAAAGTAATGAAGAGGAATTTTATTAGAAAACAAATATCAGGATTCCTCTTCTCCCTCCCCACCCCCCCCATACACACACCCCTCTCCAAAAGATCTTGGCATTCTTTTTAGTTCCTATTCTTCGCAATCGACTATTTAAGATTAAAATATGATGGTTTTCCATACTATAAAAATCTATCTTCCAAATATATTTTCTTCATTTATTTTTACCTAATTGGAGCATGGAGATATATATATATTTAAATCATTAATAAAATGGAGTTGGCTCCAGATTGAATAAAACATTTTAATCACGAGCCACTTCTAATTATAAGTGAAGAGCAGTGCCATTCTTGAGTCACGGAGACTTTTCAATTTTGTGGAGACAAAAATAGCCAGCCTAATCACACTTACAAAGGCAGGAATCCTTCAATAACTGACTCCCATTCCCCACAATCCTGAGGCTGCCCCGTCACTGTGATAGGAGAAAACCTCGACTTCTCGGCCGGCATAGCATGAAGTCAACCTTTTTTCAATTTGAAGTTTCTTCTCCCGTCATTTTTCAGATAGGCAGACGTGTGTACTCATAGATACTGACAGCAAATGGTTCTGATGCATGTGTCTTACAAAAATTATTCTCCGTTATTCATTCTGCCCAAAGCTCCCCAAGATGTTTAAAAGTCAGAATAAAAATCAAACCCAATACAGCTGCATTCATTTTTTAATTTATTTTAAAAGTAACTCCCATTTATGCTTTATTTATTATTATTATTTTTGATATATTTTTATTGATTTTCGGAGAGGGAGGGAGAGGGAAAGAGAGAAAATCAATGATGAGAGAGAATCATGGATCAGCTGCCTCCTGCACGCCCCCTACTGGGGATTGAGCCCACAACCCAGGCACGTGCCCTTGACCTGAATCACACCCAGGACCATTCAGTCTGTAGGCCGACAATCTATCCGCTGAGCCAAACTGGCTAGGGCCAGATGCATTCATTTTTACCTTACAATATTTTTACTGAGGCCTGTGATCATAATTGTGATGTTTGCTTGTTGGTCTAGTGAGGTTTACAATCTGAGAGTCAGGGATGAGCAGGTATATGAACTTATAAGAATGTTTAAATACTGCGTGGAATAAATAAGTGTTCTTCTAACATCTGAATATGGATTTGAATGTAACTACATCACTAAATTCCAGGGGGAAATGTTTCAGATCTAAAAGGTTCTTCCTTAGAAAACCTCTGGTAAAAAGCCACATTCGCTCAACAGTAGATGCAGGTCATCCTGGGTGAACCAATGTTAGTGAAGTGTTCCTGTTTGCATCTTAGCACGCTCAGCTCCAGGAAGGTTAAGACTTCTATAATTGGCTTATACTACAAAGAAGATTATGTAAGATACTTTTGGATGCTATTTTAGACTCTCAGATTTTACAGCAAGCGTTAGTCATATCGTTAACTCCTGCAATGAATGATTTTATCATTCATCTTATATTTAATTTTCTTACAAGACAAAAATAAATCACGAAAATTAAATTTTGGCATGAATATTTGGGACAGATCTGGGGGTGCTGAGGTACCCACCCACGGTGCCTGCCAACACTCCAGTGACTTCTAGTAATGGCAAAAGCTGAACTTTTCTTACCACCTCCTTCTCCGAGGTAATAATTTAAACGTTGATAGAAAAGAATAATTGATTTACTAGGATGAAGGCTCTTAAAGCACCTCTCGGAAGGAAAGCCATTCCAGAGCAGAGATGTGGCAGATATAAATAGTTTGAGGGTCCAAAGGAAGCCAGACGCTGGGACTGAGATGAGGACAGTCCAACTAATTGTACAATTTTCTGTCTAAGGCCAAGATGAAAATCAGTTGTAAGTCATACACATGAGTTTGAAAAAAAAAAAGCTTAATTTTATTTTGGTCAAATGATTCTTTCTAGGGCTATGCTAGATTGCAGAGAGAAAGAATAAATGGTATTTTTACCTTAAGAAACTCTGAACTGTAAACATAAATAGCACTGGCCAGTGTGGCACATGGGAGGCAACCAATCGTTGTTTCTCTCTCATATCTCTCTCTCTCTCTCTCTCTCTCCCCTCCTTCCTCTCTCTATAAAAAAAAATTTAAATAAAACAGTACCGGGTAAGATGCTACATCACTTCTAAATGTTTGATAAAAACTGAAGCAATAAAAAAGAAATAGAGCATGGTCCAAACTTTTTTCAATGTAAAATTACCTGTATTTTACTAAACTGCTTATCTTAAGAGTTCATAATAGCCTGCACTTGAAGGGCATTCTGCAAAAGGTAGTTTTATGATTTTAATGGATACCAGAATTGAGGCAATTTCTGGATTTTTAAGAAATTACATATTTTACAAATAAAGAGAAAGTTCTTTTGTAGATATCTTTTCTCAGTATTCACATCAGGAATTGTGGACATTTCAAACTCATTTCAGCATACATAAATATTTATGTAATAAGTTGGTTTTACGAGAAAATTTTGTTCTAGCTGTTAATGATCTTAAACGCTATATTGTATACGTATATGTGTACATTCTATATGTAGAAGTGTGTAGTATGTATGTGATATATGTCTGTGTATTTGTATATATACATATATATTTATTAGTAACCATTTTCTTGCACATTTTTGTATGCTCCACCCCCTCTCCTTAAGCCACGCTGATTACATTATTTCCCTTTAAGAAGGGCATCTCCACGCTCATTAGAGACTGTCCTGAGCCTGTCCGTGACAGGGTGTCTTCCCTCTCCCCCTCACCCTGCAGCCTGAAGCCCTGGCACCCTGGCCGAGAGCCCCTAATGGGTCCCCTTCACTGAGTGCTTCTCTGTGGTCCTAGGCTTTCCAGCGACAGGTGCACGAGAGCCTGACCCAGCTGGAGCTGATCAACAAGCAGTACCGCCGCCTGGCCCGAGAGAACCGCACCGACTCCGCCTGCAGCCTAAAGCAGATGGTCCACGAAGGCAACCAGCGATGGGACAACCTGCAGAAGCGCGTCAGCTCCATCTTGCGCAGACTCAAGGTCTTTATTCTGCCTCCTCGGTAGCTCAGGGGCCCGGAGGACAGGATCAGGCCATTCGAACACAATATTAAGACACAAGCACAGTGATTCTGTAAGATAGGGATGGCAAGAGGGGGATCTAGGGTTAATTTATATGTTAAAGCAGTGGTTCTCAACCTTCCTAATGCCGCGACCCTTTAATACAGTTCCTCATGTTGTGGTGACCCCCAACCATAAAATTATTTTCGTTGCTACTTCATAACTGTAATTTTGCTGCTGTTATGAATCGTAATGTAAATATCTGATATGCAGGATGTATTTTCATTGTTACAAATTGAACATAATTAAAGCATAGTGATTAATCACAAAAACAATATGTAATTATATATGTTTTCTGATGGTCTTAGGCGACCCCTGTGAAAGGGTCATTCAACCCCCAAAGGGGTCGCGACCCACAGGTTGAGAACCACTGTGTTAAACGATGCGGGTTCTCATTGCTCATTAAGAAAATGACTTTCCAGAAGACCATTGGAATTGGCGGTACCGTCTCAATATGCGGGCTTTGTAATTTTTATTATCTTCTTTTCATATCCAGCATTTCATTGGCCAGCGTGAGGAGTTTGAGACGGCACGGGACAGCATTCTGGTGTGGCTGACGGAGATGGATTTACAGCTCACTAATATTGAGCACTTTTCCGAGTGTGATGTTCACGCTAAAATAAAGCAGCTCAAGGTAATAGATTAGTGATTCTTCAAATTATCAGTGTGGAGAAAGTCTGAAGGGGAAGATCGTTTGAAAATACATTTTTATTGATTTCAGAGAGGAAGGGAGAGGGAGAGAGAGAGAGAAACATCAATGATGAGAGAGAATCACTGATCAGCTGCCTCCTGCACGCCCCACATTGGGGACTGAGCCTGCAACCCGGGCATGTGATAGCTGGTTCATAGGTCAATGCTCAACCATTGAGCCACATGGGTTAGGCTGAAGGGGAAGAGATGTGCAGATCCTTTGGTGAAAAAAATGGTAACTTTTTTCAGTTTTTTTTTTTAATTTTGGGGGGTGACATTGGTTAATAAGATTATAGAGGTTTTAAGTGTACATTTCTAGGTTACTTGATCTTCATGTTGCCCAACATCCAAAGTCACATCATTTTTTATCAACATATATTTGACCCTCTTTACCCTTCACTACTCCCACCCCTCTTCCCTGTGGTAACCACCATACTGTTGTCTGTGTGAGTTTTTGTGTGTTTGTTTCTCTTGTTTGTTCATTTGTTGCTTTCACTTTTATATCCCACCTATGAGTGAAATCATATGTTTCTTGACTTTTTCTGTCTGACTTATTTCACTTAGCATGATACTCTCAAGGTTCATCCATGTTGTTGCAAATGGTAGTATTTCATCTTTCCTTATGGCTGAGTAGTATTGTATTGTGTATATGCACCGCATCCTTTTTATCCATTCATCTATCGAAGGGCACTTTGGTTATTTCTATGATTTGGCCACCATAAATAATGCTGCAGTGAACAAAGGGATGCATATATCTTTGTGAATAAATGTTTCTGGTAGATACCCAGAAGTGGGGTTGCTGGGTCATATGGTAACTCTATTCATAATTTTTTGAGGAACCTCCATACTGTTTTCTATAGTGGTTGTACCAGCTTACATCCCCACTAGCAGTGAATGAGGGTTCCTTTTTCTCCACAGCCTGTTCAAAGCTTACTATTACTTGTCTTGTTGAAAGTAGCCATTGTAACATGTGAGGTGGTATCTCATTGTAGTTTTGATATGCATTTTCCTAATGGCTAGTGAAGTTGAGCATCTTTTCATACATCTATTAGTCATTAATATGTCCTCTTGGGAGACGTGTCTGTTCAAGTCCTCTGTGCATTTTTTAATTGGATTGTGTGTTTGTTTGGTATTGGGTTGTATGAGTTCTTTATATATTTTGGATATTAGCGCCTTGTCAGAGCTGTTGTTTGTAAATATCTTCTCCTATTCAGTTGATTGCTTTTTTGTTTTGTTCTTGGTTTGTTTTGCTGTCCAAAAGCTTTTCAGTTTGATATAGTCCCATTCATTTATTTTTGCCTTTACTCCCCTTGCCTTTGGGGTCAAATTCATAAGATCTTCTCTAAGACCAAGAAATTAGTTCTTCTTGATTGAAAAAAAAATTTTTTAAATGAAAAGGATATTAAAAATGAAATATAGAGCACTACCCAGAGATACCTACCATTAACATATTACTTTTATTTATTAACTTGATAGCCACAGTGTTGGGAATCTTTTTTCCTGATTAGTTTTGTGTGTGTGTGTTTTTGTTTTTTCTTGGTTTGTTTCTGGCACCTTCAAATAGTTTATTTGACCTCTATGTTTCAGAGAATTACAACTTTCTCATATTAGAATTTCATTCCACGTATTCTACACTCTTAGATGCCAAGTTAATTTTAAACATATTTTATACACTTCACTATATAATTCAACTACAGTGGCCAGTTAAAATTTTAAACAGAAGGGACATCCACTACATTAGATAAAAGGATTCTCTAAGTGGAAATGTATTTAACAATTTGAATAATTTGCAAAGCATCTTATGAAATTTTCTTCCCAAGATAGTTAAATAGATTTAACAACTACATAAAATCATGATGGCTATAACCTTAGGTTATTATAATAAAACAGAAAGTTGCTCTTAATCATATATTAGGATGAAAAAGAAATCATAAAATAGTTAAGCCTGGTATTTTGCCCAACCCCTCTTTCCATCCCTCCCACCCTGACTTTCCCAAGTTGTCTCACAGGCAAATCAATATTTAAAACCTTTGGCAGGGCATTTACTCCAAGTGGTAATTGAGCTTTTCTTTTTGGAGTCTGGCAGGGACATAGAACTCATTATGGCCCTCTATTTTCCCCTTGCAGTCTTCATTATTGGACAGTTTTGACTATTCCAGAGTTTATTCTTGTGAATTAAAATGTATCCCCTGACACTTATCCCAAGTAGCTTAACTCTTCTGAACCATGTAAAGTGAGTCTAAATGATTCTCCAGAATTACTTATTTTTCAAATCATTTTCATCTTTCCTGCTCATGTCCCAAAACAGCAAAAATCATCTGAGTAGAATTGGTGATATTGTCATTGGCTTGGTTTCATGTCTGATGTACGATCAAGAAATCTAAAATTAAAATATTCAATATATTTCTTTAAAGTGCTACATTTATTTCATTGGCACTGTAATGATTACAGTGGATTGTCATCAGGGGTAACCAGTGCTATGGATTCACGGTGGGTTGAATGTTTTCTCCTCTGATTTTCTGCCCACACTGTCCATGGTAGTAGATTGGATTAGCCAAAGGCACGCTTCTGGTCATGGAATTTTAGTGATTCTATTTCCAACTCATGTTCTGACTTAAAATGTTTATGTTTTACTTTATAAAGTAAAAGCCTCTTGGCTTGTCATAGTAGAGGGTGCGTTCACTATTCCCTACGTGGTTTTTCTAAAGATGTAGCTTATCATTATTTCATGTCAATGTGAGCAATGAAAATCACGTGGGATGTGTGCTCCCTAGGCCTTCCAGCAGGAAATTTCATTGAACCACAACAAGATTGAGCAGATCATTGCCCAAGGAGAGCAGCTGATTGAGAAGAGCGAGCCCTTGGACGCGGCGGTCATCGAGGAGGAGCTGGACGAGCTGCGGCGCTACTGTCAGGAGGTCTTCGGGCGCGTGGAGAGATACCACAAGAAGCTGATCCGCCTGCCTGTATGTAACACCAGTCTTTCATTGTCGTCAAATCTAAAGAGAAATCGTGATGTGGGGTTCGATAGTGTTGTATAGTGGCTAAGAGCCCAGACACTGGATCCAGAATGCCTGGGTTCCAGTTTCAGCTCTGACGTGTTGGCTAGGTAACCTTCGGCAACTTACTTCACGTATCTTGCCTCAGTTTCCTCAACTGTGAAACTAGTTTAATAACAGTACCTACCTTGTAGAAAGGATTATTTGGGGCATGAAATGAGGATGGATAGATGATTGATAAATAGATGCTAGATAGATAGCTTAGAAGAGTACTTGGCACATATCATCTATGGAAGATAAATAAAGAAGCTTCTAGAAGAAAGGAGATGAGCGTGAACAATGTAAATAGTTGCTCTATTGATGAGGCTGTTTTGTGGAATTTTTTTCTCTTCCATTCCCCTAATTGCTGCCATAATCACATCTCAGTGTCGAGATGTTATTACCAGAATATTTGGAACCTTCTGTGTTAACTATATTTTGTGTCTGGGATATAAGTTTAAAATGGACCAGCTACAATTTTATCAGTGATTTCCTTCTGTTTCTGACATGTGCCACTATGTTTGTGTTGTGTTGCATGCATAGTACTAAATTGCCTTTATTTACATTATCTTATTTAATCTTATACTGATTCTTTGAAGTAGTTTTTTTGTTTGTTTTAAAATACATTTTTATTGATTTTTAGATAGAGAGGGAGAGGGAGAGAGAGATAGAAACATCAATGAGAGAGACACATCGATCAGCTGCCTCCTGCATGCCCCGGCAATCTGGGCATGTGCCCTGACTGGCAATCAAACCCAGCATCTCTTGGTCCATGGGATGACACTCAATCCACTGAGTCACACCAGCCGGGCAGTAGCTTTTAATATTATTTCCATTTTAGTGCTGATAAAACTGAGGATCTGTTAGATTAATTTATAAGACATTTTTAAAAGTTAGCACAAGATTATTGCTTATTTGGTGATAGGAAGTTTAAAAGTATCCCCACTGAGGTAGGAATGTGACCCCGACAAGCGTGAACTCTGAGCTTTGGCGAGAGGCAGGACAAGACGTGAGGAGGGATCCCCTGGTCGCTGCGGTAACGGAGTTGGCTTGACTGCCTTTCTAGCTCCCAGACGATGAGCACGACCTCTCTGACCGGGAGCTGGAGCTGGAGGACTCGGCAGCTCTCTCAGACCTCCGCTGGCATGACACCTCCGCGGACAGCGTGCTGTCCCCCCAGCCTTCCTCCAACCCCTCCCTCTCCCTCGCCCAGCCCCTCCGGAGCGAGCGGTCAGGACGAGACACCCCTGCCAGTGTGGACTCCATCCCCCTGGAGTGGGACCATGACTATGACCTCAGTCGTGACCTGGAGTCTGCCGTGTCCAGAACTCTGCCCTCTGAGGATGAAGAGGGTCAGGAAGACAAAGATTTCTACCTCAGGGGAGCTGTTGGCTTATCAGGTAGGAAAAAGTGCTTCCTATATACAAGCTTAAAAGGAAATAAAAGGGGGTGGATATTGTACTGGAAACATGTAACTCAGCAGACTTGTCTTCTTCCTTCTCCCATGAAGGGAAAGTGTACATAAGGGAACATTGGATGTTCGTGTGACTATCAAATACAAAAGTTGGCATGGCCATTGATTTATCCCACATATACTTAGGGTCTTACAATATGACAAGCGCTTTGCTAAGCCCTGGGAACACCCAGTTCCTTTTCTTACACTCAAGTGTGGAACATGGACAATAAGTAGGGCATGTTTGGCACCAGGATCTAACGTGCATGGGCAGGTACAGAAGCACAACCAGGGGACACCTAACCCGGAGCTTTGAGGAATGGCTTTAGGGAAGGGACCTTGAGCTGAGCCCTGAAGGATGAGTAGGAGTTGGTCAGGTGGATGCAGCAATGTTCAGAGGAGGAAAGCAGAGGGCACCCAGCCCAGCTTTCTGAGTAGCCGCCGTACTGCTGGGCACCTGAGGTTTGTTCACAGTGACAAGGCTGTAGATTGGGAAGCACAGAGTGGACAAAGAGGAGGTGAAAAGACCAACCAGGACCTCGTCATGACGCAGCCTATTCACATGGAAAGGAGTTTGGCTTTTATCCACAAGGTAATAGGGAGCCACAGCAGGGGCCTAAGGAGGGAAGCAATGTGATCAGATGCATATTTTCAAAGAACCTGTCTTGAAAGTACTAGATGGAGGGAAGTGCATTGGGAGGAAGAGAGTCCAAATGGAAACATTTTCTAATCCAGGACAGAGATGGGATGGTGGCCTGAACTAAAGGAGCAGCACTGGGAAATAGAAGGGAAAAGATGTGACAAATCATAAGCAGTCTCCTCCATAAGTGATAGCTGACAGAATTGGGATCGAGGCTATTTTCTGGCTTGAGTACCTTAGTGAAAGATGTGATTTCTCTCATTTCTGTTTTGTCTTTATGGTATCGCCTAATAGTTAGGCATTTGGCATGGAAAGCAGCACTGTTCACTATGTAGCCACTGGAGCGCTGACGGTTGAGCGCTGAAATGTGACTGCTGTTGAGATTTGCTGTGTCAGCCACACTTCCATGAATACATGAAGTTCAAAGGCTTACACAAAGAAAGAATATTAAACATGAACATGTTGATTCCATGCTATAATTTAGATGTATTGATTTAGTAAAATAAAGTATTAACGTTATTTTCATCTATTTCTTACTACTTTTTGAACCAGGCTGTTAGAAATTACACGTGCAGCTCACGTTATGTCCATTGGCCTCTTTCAGCACTGTTCTGGAATCTGTCTGGGTTGAAATTTCTTTAGTAGCTTTTGAGACTTTGATAAGTAACTTAATTCCTCTGGGCATCAATTTTCTCATCCACAAAATGGGAATGACTCTCCCATTCACTGTAGGGTTGCTGTGAGGGTACGTGACGGTTGGACACAGTGCCTGGCTCATAAAACACTCTCAACCAGTGAGTGGGAGCCCTCACTAGGATTCACTTCAAGAAAACGTGCCCAGGAGCTATCTGTCTACAAGAACTAACTTCCTTTTTTCCCCAGGAAAGTTGTTTTCCTGCCACAAGGGAATCGATGTTTCCAGAACTTACCTGTCAACTTAGACTGTGCTCTTTTCGCAGATGTCACGATCCCCGAAAGCCCCGAGGCCTATGTAAAACTCACAGAAAGTGCCATCAGAAATACCTCTGGTAGGCACGCCCAGCCCAGGCAGCCTCCCGCCCTCACCTGTCACAGGCCCCTCTCGGCACCGCCTGTCCCTCTCTCGGCTCTGTGGCACAAGCATGTTAAGGCAGAACCTTCTCTTCTGACTGCTGTACCATGAGAACAAAAACAAACAAAATAAAACAAACACGAGGTTAAGCAACACCAAGAGTAAGATCTGAATAGCCAAGTGCAGTAACTTCTCACCTGCTCAGTGGTGATCAGCCTCATGAGGTGCACACCTGCAATGCCCATCAGGAGCAGAGAACAGGGGACGGAAGCCCTGGTCTTCAGCATGTGTGCCCCGGCGCCCTGTGGGGTTGTAGCAGCCCTGACTTTGTGGCTTTGATGGGTCGCCCACCTCCCTCTGACTAGAGGGTCAGGGCTCAGGCTCTGGTTGAACCACCAGCCTGCATGGGTGACCTTGGGCCGCCGCTCATCCTCCTGATCTCAGGGGTCACACATTAGACAAGGACTGAGACCAGATGTTCAGCTCTGTGTCAATGTGGTTAGTAAGTCTAACCACATATAAATACTTTGAAATGAAAATTGTATTCCACAGTGCCTTAAGACGTAGATTTTTCTTTCAGGACAGAAGGATTCCTGAAATAAGAAAAATGAAAGAAAGCAACATGAAACCAGTTTTGCTTAACGTTGCACTAGACCCGTGGTTGGCAAACTGCGGCTTGCGAGCCACATGCGGCTCTTTGGCCCCTTGAGTGTGGCTCTTCACAAAATACCACAAAATACCACGTGTGGGCGCGCACATACAGTGCAATTGAAACTTCGTGGCCCATGCACAGAAGTCGGTATTTTGTGGAAAAGCCACACTCAAGAGGCCAAAGAGCCGCATGTGGCTCACGAGCCGCAGTTTGCCGACCACAGCAGTAGACAAACTGGATGTAGTTCAGGGTCAGTAATTTGGAGGAGGGTGGAGCGTAGGGTTGGAACACAGTGATGTGGTAATGAATTGCTGGGTTATTAGTTCACACTTAAATTTTTAAAAACAAAAGGACAGGAAGCAAAGTACCATTGCTAAGATGATGACAGCCTGGTTCCCAGCGAGACCTCTTCCAGGCGTAGTTAGAAGACCTTTAAACAAAAAGTCATAAGGCTGACTGATATCTGCTCTGCTTTCACCCTGTGCTGGCTTCACTCTGACAATCCATGTTCTTGTTCAGGTCGAAGACTGCAATACACACATGCAGGCACACCGCCGCATGCACACACACATGCATGCCCACACGCACGCAAATAATTTTGCTAAGAGGTATTGCATCTCTGCAAGGAGCCTGAGCCGGGAGTTCTAGGCTGTGAGGAAGAGCAAGCCGAGAGGGAAATGCTAAAATCTTAGCTTTCTCCTGCTTTTGATTCAAGTTTTAAACAAAAGCAAGTCATTGCTCCTTTGCTGTTTCCATACGTACCTATCTTGAGCGAGTCTTTTCTTGGCTAACTTGAAGTCCTGCCTTAAGTGGATGACACGGCCACCTGGCACGTCAGGGGCCCTGTCTTCTGCTGAGATGCAGAAAGGAAAATGAGAGGCCGTGTCGTCTTCTGCTTCAGAAGTGACTGCAGAGGGAGCATGACAAGTAGCTGCCTTGCAGTTATTGGGGAGCAGACGAGGTTTTAGAAAGGCCTTCCACAGCTCACAGTGTGCAGATTTTCAGGGGATCCACTGTAAAAGGGGGCAGGCCCAGGGGCTGATAGAACCCACTGCAGAGCCCTTTGCAGTACCCAGGCAGCTCGGACTCTTAGTGAAGCACATTCATCGGTCTGGTCCTTTAAACCTCTAACTCACCAGCACGTCAGTACTAAACTTGCTTTATAATTGCCCTCACCCATTGTGTTTCTATACAACTTTAACTGCAATGATTTCTTAAGCTTCTTGAAGGTCACGCTTGCAAAGCTTGTAAAAACTCTTATGGTTGACCCTGCAGGGGATCCCAGTGCCTTAGAGTCACAGATCCGACAACTGGGCAAAGCCTTGGACGACAGCCGCCTTCGGATGCAGCAAACAGAAGATATCATCCGCAGCAAAACTCCCACAGGACCAGAGCTGGACGCCAGCTACCGCGGCTACGTGAGTATCCTGACCTCCGGGATGCGGACAGGTACCTGGAAGTCACAGTTGTGTGACAGAGAACAATTTGTCTGGGGCACGAAGGCTTTATGAGCTCTCCAAACACCACGCTGCCCTTGAACTCAGGCGTGGGTGTGCAAAACAAAGCCCTGTTAGCAGCAGGTTACCTGTCGCATCTAGCTGGACCATGGCAGGCCCACTAACCTACTGCAACGGCCAGCCTGTTCCTTTACACAGAAAACTTAGTGAGATCCCTTTAATTGAAAGTAGCAAAATGCTTTGGCTCCCGAAAGTGATTAGGCATTTTTCCAAATTCAGCTAATGGTGTTTGGACCATGGTGATCCTTGGAGCAACAGATTTTAGCTAATAGATTACTAACAAAGAATTTTTTAAGTTCTTTTCTTGGGCTTATTGATTCACTGGATGGCCTTGGGAATGTGTTTGTCTTCTGTTTTTAGTATGTTCATTCTGGAGAAAACAATTCTAACGAGGAATTTGTGGAAAAGATAGCAAGAGAGTGTATATATTACCGCTCCTTTTTTTTAAAAGCTCTTAGGAAAGTATATAATGACTTTATTTGCTCTGTTCAAATTACTGACCAAATAATTTTTCCCAGAGAACTACCTATTTTTCTACACATATTCAAGCAAGAGAGTCTGAAAGGAAATCTCATCCATGCCTCAAACCTTCTTTTCCCACCCCAGAGACTGCCGAGTAAAAGGAAAGAAATATTTTTTGTTGTTGTTAATCCTCACCCGAGGATATTTTTTCCATTGATTTTTAGACAGAGTGGAAGGGAGGGGGAGAGACAGAGAGAAACATTGATGTGAGAGAGACACAATGATTGGTTGCTTCCCGACCAGAGCCAGGGATCGAGCCTGCAACCGAGATACATGCCTTTGACCTGAATCGAACCCTTCAATCTGTGGGCTGATGCTCTATCCCAGTGGTTCTCAACCTTCCTCATGCCGCGACCCTTTAATACAGTTCCTCATGTTGTGGTGACCCCCAATTTCATTGTTACAAATTGAACATAATTAAAGCATAGTGATTCATCACAAAAACAATATGTAATTATATATGTGTTTTCCGATGGTCTTAGGCGACCCCTGTGAAAGGGTCGTGCGACTCCCACAGGGGTCGCGACCCACAGGTTGAGAACCGCTGCTCTATCCACTGAGCAAAACTGGCTAGGGCAGGAAAGAAATGGTAATTTTCCAAAGTCACACAGACTGCTTTTTGAAATCAGAGAAGAGAACCATTCTAGTTGCATATGCTGATGTTCACATCCCCACAATTACAGAAGAGGGACCAATCATGAGTTCACTTCCTGTCCAATCTGGCCTATCACACCGACTTCTATTAGAGTGAAACCTCTTTTTGCAAAATATAATATAGTTTCCTGAGGTCAGTGCTGACATCACTGAGATTATAGTCAACCTCAATCAAAAGCAATCGAAGTCACTTAATAGCAATGTGATCCGTTACAGGCTTTAAAAGGTGACTTTATGGTCAGTAGAGCAGGCATGCCTTGAAATGATGTGTTCCTTTAATCTTCGAATACCATGCTACTAAGCATGGAGTTGGAAACTTCTCCTTTGATATTAGACTTTATTCCCTTAATACCTATTAAGCAATGGTTCCAGTTTCTCATGAAGCAGCTGGTTTTAATACTGCTTTATGCTTTTAAGTGTTTTAATTACTTAATGCAAAAAACTGTTCCTTTGAGATTTGTGGTAATATTATTGTTTCCACTTTTCAGTTTAAGAAAGAGGGAGCAACTTGCCAGAAATTATGTAATGTAATACCAGCTCAGGGCTCCGAGTTTAAACCCAAGACGGGTTTAATCTATCTTTGTTATTTTTTTTTTAATTTATTGATTTTAAAGAGAGAGCGGGGAGGGAAGAAGCAAGGGAGGAAAGGAGAGAGAAACATGGGACTGCCGTTCCACTTCTATAAGCATTCATTGGTTGCTTCCTGTACGTGCCCTTACAGAGAGTCAAACCCACAACCTTGGCGTATCGAGAGAACGCTCCAATCAGCTGAGCTACCCGAGCAGGGCCTAATCCAGTGATGGCAAACCTTTTGAGCTCGGCGTGTCAGCATTTTGAAAAACCCTAACTTAACTCTGGTGCCGTGTCACATATAGAAATTTTTTGATATTTGCAACCATAGTAAAACAAAGACTTATAGTTTTGATATTTATTTTAGATATTTAAATGCCATTTAACAAAGAAAAATCAACCAAAAAAATGAGTTCGCGTGTCACCACTGACATGCGTGTCATAGGTTTGCCATCACTGGCCTAGTCTGTCTTGATTTATAAACTTAATTTCAAAAATGTTTTGAGGACTTCCCATGCAAAAGCACATATGCAAAGTATATCTTTGAGCCTTGCTTTATGTGTGTATGGAGGTGTCACATGTGTAAGAAGCATGCTTTTGAACTTGGCCTTGTTTAGCAGAGTGGCACAGCCGCTGTGCTTTCTGAGGAACCTCAAAGACATTTCCCCAGAAGCCCTTGCACGTGTGGGAATGTGAGAGCCTGGTGACGGGGCCTGTTTTCTGGGTCCAAACAGATGAAACTGCTGGCGGAGTGCAGCGGCAGCATCGACTCGGTGAGGAGGCTGGAGCACCAGCTGAAGGAGGAAGAGGAGAACTTCCCCGGCTTCGTGAACCTGAACAGCACTGAAGCCCAGACGGCCGGTGAGTGAGTGCCGCTCAGGGCAAGGCAGGGGCGTGGAAGGCTCGGAAGCACGTTGTTGCACCCGAGTGTCGCTTACCTCCGTCTACACATTTCCATCCCGAGAACTTGTCTCCGTGTCCCAACGATCTCCTGTGAAAGAGAGGGAGGTGAAATGCATCCGTGTCCCCTCCACTTCAGTGCACTGTCCCTACTGTCACTAGTCAGGCACTTTATTTTATTTTATATTTTAAATATTTTTTGATTGATTTCAGAGAGAAAGGAAGAGGGGGAGAGAGAAAGAAACATCAGTGATGAGAGAGAATCATTGATGGTCTGCCTCCTGTAGGCCCCCTACTAGGAATCGAGCCCGCAACCCGGGCATGTGCCCTGCTCGGGAATCAAAATGTGATCTCCTAGTCCATAGGTCAATGCTCAACCACTGAGCCAGCTGACCGGGCTAGTCAGGCATTTTGGATGTACACTCTCAGAGCTCTCTTGCAGAGAGACGTCAAGAATTGAATGTTCTCTTCGGGCACACTGCTGCTCATTACTTCATAAAGCTCTTTGCAGTGTTAAACCCCATGGAGCTCTCTTTATTTGTTTTTTTATTCCGTCACCATTAAAAATGCAGATCGGAAGAACAGCCATGATGCTATTCTTTACAGCTGACGGAAACAGACATGCCCGGGGGATTCCTTTCTCTCTGTTGCTATTAAAGTCAGCCCGGTGCACGCTCCCAGCCTTCCCCAAACCCAGCACGTGGAGGGGAATGTTTGTTATTGTGTGCACGTCCTGTCTCGCAGGTGTGATTGACCGGTGGGAGCTCATCCAGGCGCAGGCCCTGAGCAAGGAGCTGCGGATGAAACAGAACCTCCAGAAGTGGCAGCAGTTCGGCTCCGACCTGAACAACATCTGGACCTGGCTGGGGGCGACAGAGGAGGAGCTGGAGCGGCTCCGGCGCCTGGAGCTCAGCACCGACATCCAGTCCATTGAGCTGCAAATCAAAAAGCTCAAGGTGAGCTGCCCTTGGCCTTTCCCAGAGCAGCCAGACAGGTGCGACCCGTGGGAGGCCTGAGCAGGTGCGGCCACGAGCCTAGCTGTGTTGCTGTGATGCAGCAGCAGGGAAATTGTCAGCAGAAGGTCACAGGGACCTTCTGTGCTCTCCTCCTCCTGCCCCCCCACCCCTGCCTTCCCTAAGAAGAGCTTATAGAGAAGTTTTGGAAGGACAGGAAGATGGACCACGTTGTGGAAATAGCCCCCATGTAAATAATCATGTATGATTTAATGAATTGGTGTTTTTAAATGATCAATTAAAATTTTGAACCACCCAGGTACCCTAGGACCTATTTCACCTCTTTTGAGGGAAATCGAGATATGAGATATTCCCAGGGTCCTACAAGTTTCTACCTAAAGCTGGAGAGATATCTTCTCCAAGACTTTATGTGTGTGAGGGTGTGGAGACCTAATGAAATCATTTGACGTTCTGGGGTGAGCAGGACTTCCGGCATTTCCTGCCTGGGTGCAGGACCCAAGATCACTTCCTTTCACTCCATCTCCAGATCCTAGAAATCCTCCTCAGCCCGGCTACTGAAATGCATTGGTATTGCAGACTTCTGTAAGCGCGCTGTGGAGTGAGGGCCCAGTTCCCTTCTGATAGCTCTTTGGATCCTGTCTTTCTGCTTGGAGAGCACCGAGGTGTGCTCTTCCTCAGGAGGGAGGGGCCCAGGCTCGCTGGGCTGGAGGATTAAGCGCTGCTGCTTTTGTGCGCCTCTGGTGTCAGCACGCACTGTGGATCTGGAAGTGATGTGTTTGTGGCTTGCGTTGGTGGTGGTTGTGTTTTACATTTTCAAACAGAGAAATGAGTCTTCCCCACAGATGTTCAAACGTCTTCTTTGAAAGGAGCCTTGCCTAGCCCATCAATTTCAGGAGATGGGTCAGATGAGAGATGCAGTTGCATCACCTGGATTATACGGTGCATTTTTTTTCTTTTCTTTTTAAAATATATTTTTATTGATTTCAGAGAGGAATGGAGAGGGGAAGGGAGAGAGAAATATCAATGATGAGAGAGAATCATTGATCAGCTGCCTCCTGCACTCCACACACTCGGGATCAAGCCTACAACCCGGGCATGTGTACTGACCAGGAATCGAACCGTGACCTCCTGGTTCATAGGTCGACGCACAACCACTGAGCCACACCAGCCTGGCATAAGAAGCATTTTTTTTTTCTAGAGTACTTAAATGCCTTGAGTTTCTCTCCGGGAAAACGTAGGGCGGCATTGCATTAAAACCAAATTCCTTATAAAGGTGATGGATCAAATGCTGGTCCAAGTCTGATCTAAGCAAGATGAGGGTGGAGGAGTGAGACCCTGACAGTCAGCCTGTACCCCTCCCCCAGAATCCTATCTGTTTTCTGAGGATAAATCTGTGGCATCACCAACTATCTTTTCATAATATCCCTCCGTCTTATACTGTCTCTGTGGTTGACTATATATTCAGTTTGTTAAGAATCTATTGAAAATTGAAAAATTAAGACAAGTTGGAAACACCACAGAAAAGTGAGAAATTCTAAGAAAATGTAGCCTGGGTGGGTGGGATTTGCAGGATCACTCACCCTAACTTGATCTGGGCATGTTTAAACAACCTCGCTATTCTATTAATACATAATCATGCTCTCAAGTTCTTGGAATTTTGTTCTAGGTTTTTAGGAAATGCACAAAGTAAAAATCACAGGTGTGTGTGTGTGTGTGTGTGATCAAACTAAATTGGTTAGCTGATGAAATATCCAACTCATGCTCCTAACCATCACCAGAAGGTGGCCTGTGATGTAGCCAGTGTCCTGTGTGTGTGTGTGTGTGTGTGTGTGTGTGTGATATCAAACTAAATTGGTTAGCTGATGAAATACCCAACTCATGCTCCTAGCCATCACCAGAAAATGGCCTGTGACAGGCATTGTCCGCAGCCTGGGAGCCGCTATCTGTGCCGATGGAGTTGGAACAGCTGGAGGCCAGGGCCCAGGAATCTGCTTTCTCACCCAGTTTCCCATTCTGTTCTCATGCACAGAACTCTGAGTACCATTGGTCTATTGAGATGGGATTGTTACACTAGGACAAAAAGTGCATTTCCTGCTGCTCAGAACTGTTGGAGCCCGGTTTTGTTTCATTTTGTTGTTGAAATTTCATGCGGGGGGGTCAAGTTACTCATATTCCTTATTTTATTGCAGAGGGTCATGGTTGCTTCCTGTGAAATGCCTCTTAATTTTATTTATGTATCCCCCCCCCCCCCCAACACACACACGCGTGCACGCAGACTGTTTTTTAATTCTCATTCCTCAGACCCACAGCAACCATTCTGAAATATTTAATGAGTATTCTTTGTTCCTGTATATTCATTCAAAAAAAAGTAGATTTGTGTGTGGGCGCGTGTATTTTAAATTACACACATGCTGTTGTGTTGCACATATCATTCTGTTTCTGACTCTTTCACTCTGCCCCATATTTTACTGAGATCTATTCATGTTGTCAAGTGCACATCTAGTCCAGCTCTCGTAACTGCAGCATGGTTCTCAGTGGTGTGAACTCACTGTAACTTATCTGGACATCCTGTCAAGGCCCAGTTTGTATTCACGGATCTTTTTATTTGGGTGAAGCCTTTCCAAAGGCCTTAGACTATTTTTTTAATGCTTTTATCGTTATTTTCCTTGTTTGGTTGTTCTCCTTCCTCTTTGTAGGAGCTGCAGAAAGCCGTGGATCACCGCAAAGCCATCATCCTCTCCATCAACCTGTGCAGCTCCGAGTTCACGCAGACGGGCGGCGAGGAGAGCCAGGCCCTGCAGGACCGCCTGTCCCAGATGAACGCGCGCTGGGACCGGGTGTGCTCCCTGCTGGAGGAGTGGCGGGGCCTGCTCCAGGGCGCGCTGATGCAGTGTCAGGTCCGCGGGGCTTTGGGCAGGCTGTGCTCCCAGTCACATGTGTCTGGTGGTGCCGAGTCTGTGACTTGGTTTACCAAGGTCACCAGAGGGATGCAGTTGCTCCCCAGAGTCAATATCTGAGTGCGATCGCGTTGTGCCCAAACTTTTTATTTGAGTAGAGAATGTGTACATGTGAACAGCAGTTCAGAGCAGCCAGAACCCACCTTCTGTCCAGCTAAAGAGAGACTCTTCCCACGAGTTCATCTCGGCCCCACCACTCCTTCTTCTACTCATTCATGGCATTCATTCATTCAACAGACATTTACTGAGCACATCGGAAGACAGTTTCTGAACACCACAGTGAGCATTACAAATACTTACTCATTCATACCACACTGGCCCGGTCTCACTGTCTGACAGGCATTGCACTAAGCAGTCACGATACACCACAGCCTCTCTTGTTGGGGAAAACAGACAATAAAGATGCAATTCCGTGGTTAACCAAGATGCTTCCAGATGTTGATCAGAGGACTTGAGAAAAGCCTCTTTGCGGGGGAGTTCAGGGAAGTTCTAAGCATCTTTCAGCTGACATTGGGAGGATGGATCCATGAAGGAGATGGAACAAATGGAAAGGGCTTAGTGTCTCCAAGGACAGGACAGAGGCCAGTGTGAACAGAATGCAGTCAGAGAGGCAGGAGTGACGAGAACCATCAGGCAGGGCCTGGCAGGTCCTGGCCAGGAGCTTGGGTTGCATTCTGGACACGAAGGGAAGCCCTTTCAGGGTGTGAAGCCTGCTCCTTGACAGCAGGTACCCAAGCTGTGGTTTCAACCCTGCACCCCCTCCTGGTACAGTGTGTTTCACCCAGGAGATGTTCATGAACTATACGTTAAATAAATGAATGAACAAATGGATGGATGAAGGACACAGGGATTGGATTTAGGCCTTAAAAAGATGGGAAGATTTGAATTCAGGGAGATGAGAGGGGAGCAGAGCTGCTTCCTTCCAAACTACATAGTAGCCCTAGAAATTTCTAAAGTACTTTTTATTTTGAACCAATTTTCCTTATGTCTGAATCTTCCCTCCAACAATAAATTAGGTGCTTTTGGGAAGAATGTGAGCTCAGAAACTGTCTTCTGATGTGCCCTCGTCAACTGCTCCGAGAATTACAACAGCACAAGCGCCTTGATCAGAAAGGAGTTGTGTCTAAGATCGTAAAGCCAACGTGTCTTTGCCAATGGTAGCAGTTGTAAAGAATAGAAATGTAAAAAAGAAAAAAAGAATAGAAATGTAAGCTGTGTGTGAAAGAAAACTGTATTATTCAAGATGATTTCCTGCTCTGTACTTTTTCCCTAGGATTTCCATGAGATGAGTCATGGCTTGCTTCTCATGCTGGAGAACATCGACAGGAGGAAAAATGAAATTGTTCCTATCGATTCTCACCTCGATGCAGAAATACTGCAGGACCAGCACAAGCAGCTTACGGTAAGATGTGTGAACGCCGCAGCCTCTGGTTGTTTTAGCAGTGATCCCTTTCATTTGCAGGAAAATAAATGGTTATACTTTTTACCTTTTAAGTTATAGTCTCTAAGTTAAATTTTGTGAAGCAAATACGTGCACAGAAGAGGACATCAACTAGCTTTAGAATCTGGTTCTAAAGCCATGGCTCAATTGTAGAAATCTTAGCTGTTCTAATATTAATTAACTTGTTTTTATTAAAGCAGGTCTTTGGTGAATTACACTTATTTTCCATTTAAATTGTATTTGTTACATCCATGTCCCAAAAGTATTTGAGGTGGTGTATAATAAAAGGACATTCATTACAACTATTAAAATAGCATTAGGGCTTTGTAAGAGGAATTACTAGAAAGTGAATCAAATTCTGCATTAACCTTAACATCAAGTTTCCTGAAAGTTAAGACAAAAAGGGAAATGTGATGACTTCACTTATTTTCATTATCTGACAAAAAGGAAGCATACCAGTTCTCAGGGAGTGAGAAACTTTTTTCAGCACTAACTTCTGAAGGAAACCTGCAAAATTTCTGGGTAGATTCTCATACAAAGAACTGTGGACAATATAACGTACAGCGTACTTAGGTGACTTCACAGATGATACAGAAGCAGATTTGCATCCCATTAGGAGAAAATGAGTTGAATTTTGTAGCTTTCTGCATTTTTTAGATGTTATTTCTTACCATTTAACACTCACTAACCTAACCAGCAGAATTGGTCGCTTCTAATTCAGTACCATAAAGGTCTTAGAATATAAGAGGGAATAGTGATGCGACTGCATTTCCACTAGACTTCGAACCTCAGGCTTTAAGTTGTAAATGATAAATCACCACATATCTTTTTTTAAATCTGAGTGTATCTAGACATACTGGAGGTCTGATACATTTATGGTAATGTTTTCCTGTTCTGTTTAAAAGACTATCTTATGTCTCATTTGCATAATACTTTCTATTTTAAGTACTTTCACATATATTTACTAAGCTGAACCCAAGAATACTTACTGTGGATCAGGCAAGAAATAATATCATCATTTTACCAAAGAAGCAAAATTCACATCCAAAAGGCTCAGGGGTCTTAGGGAATGGTTTTGGCGGAAGCAAGATTAGAACACAGGTCCCTGATTCCCAAATGCCCTGGGCGGCTCTATCCTTCCTGTGTGAGCTCAACATTCCGAGGCTCAGGCATAAGTGCCCAGTAAGTTAAAGTGATGTCATTCTGCACTGTAGAGACTTTCCCTAATGATCAGAAATCCTTAAAGAAATGTTTCTTACTCTATACATAGCAAATAAGGCAGGAGCTCTTGGAATCCCAGGTCAAAGTGGCCTCGCTACAAGACATGTCTTGCCAGCTGTTGGTGAACGCTGAAGGCACAGACTGCTTAGAAGCCAAAGAAAAGGTCCATGTGATTGGAAATCGGCTCAAACTGCTCTTGAAGGAGGTCGGTCGTCACCTCAAGGAGCTGGAGAAGTTACTGGACATGTCGAGCAGTCAGCAGGTAAGTGCTCAGCAGGCAGCACTGTGTAGCCTTTCCTATAGAGCATCAAGGAAGCATCATCCTTGTCCATTTCAGAATGTCTTTGAGTGTCCACTCTCTGTCACGGCACCTGAAAGTCTGGTCTCAAAATAAGAAAGGGACTTACAGTCTTTTTTAAAAAAAAAATTATATAT